TACTCCAATTGGCTCATTCGCTTGCTTAAACTCAACGTTGATTCTGATTCCGCAGAACTGGGTTGGGTGTGAAAATGTATTTGTTGTTAACATTCTTTTTTCATTCGGTTTTTCCAGTTACGAGTCCTTTTTTAAAGCTGATCGTTTTGTGTTCATTTTGTTTAATTCTTTTTTCGTAACAGATTTAATGTTTAGTATAGAGCTTTAAAAAAATTTGCAGTGTGAGATAGGCAAGAAGTAAGGCATGTAGCAACATCAGCACGGAAAAGGGCATTCCTTTAAAGGCAAGGAAGGGCAAAAATATTTTAAGTCAAGTAATAGCGATTGCTGTATGAGTCGTACGATTTTTGAATCAAGCATGGGCAACGCCGGGCCATACTGCTAGTATATATATATATATATATATATATATATATATATATATATATATATATATATACAGTATTTCTTGCTGCTTCTTGGTCTAATATAAGAGAGAGTGCTGAAAAGTTGTCGACCCAAGCCATATTCCTAAAATCTGATCAAATGAGTAAACACAATCATTAGATAATCAGATATGCTTCTTGATTTGATCTAGCTGAAGGCTTTCCAATACTCGTATATATATATATATATATATATATATATATATATGGCGCTGGACAGTAGTATAGTACTAATGTAGTTGGAACTTTTTAAAGGCTGCAAATGGTTCTTTCTAAATTGTCTGATATGATTCAATATATCGAGATCATCTAATAAAATAAAATATTAGAAAAAGCAAAATACAAAATATTGACTGTGACTTGAAGAAGAAAGAAAAAAAACTGAACGCGTCAAAAACTGTGTGCATTTGCGAATGAAAGAACCAAGAAATGCAGAAATTATTTCTGAAATAAAGGTAAAAAGAAATTTAAAAAAAAGATTAAAAAAAATGCGATGCAATTTTTCGAATGAACGTGACAGCTTAAATTAAAAAAAATATATATATATTTAAGTCATGTCCGCGTGTTTGATTTGTCTGTTTTGCATAGAATTAGAATTACCTTGACGTTGTTTTCTTTTAATTCATATGTCTGTATATTTAGGTACATTGTGTGTTTGTGTATGTGTGTATGTGTGTGGGGGGTTGTTTTCTATCGTTCTCCTCGACACGATATATTATAATTCACTTTGAACGCAGTTCTCTTTCATAAAAAATACGAACAAGAAACAAAAAACCCATTGGATTATTTACGCCATCTTCGAGTTTCTTTCCGTTTTTCAGTTTTCATTGTTTTTTTTTGCTTGTCTTCTTTCAATGTCAGCTTTTGCACAAAATATTCTTCTGTAAAATCTCCCATTTTTCACGTCTTGTCGCATCTTATATTCTTAAAAAAAAAAAAAAAATTAACCACTTTTTGTTTTTCAGTCATTTTCCTCGTGTCATTTTCATTGAATATTCTCTCATTTTAATCCCAACTAATATTTATTAACTAATTTTGCTGTTGAATCTCGTCCATGCACTGAAAAACTGTAGTCTTGCCTTATAATATTGGCATATAGACCTTGGAAAATATGGAGATAAAAATGGTATTATCTTCTGCATGATCTAATTGATTTTTCTTTTTTACAGAAGCATTTCCTTTTTCTTAAATAAATAAAACTTTAAGTGTTAAATGTTTTTATTCAAGAGACGACATATGTATATATATATATATATATACATGCATACATACACACACGCACACACATATATATATATATATATATATATATATATATATATATATATATATATATATATATATATATGGTGTATCAAAATACTAAAACTAGCACAAAAAGGCCATAGAGACAAATATCCGCAAATCCTTCGTTTTTGATTTTAAAGTTCAAGGTATGCGCTATTAAATGTACAATACAAAATACTCTCCAAAAATACTTTTACAAACTTTGTGGGCGGGTTCCTTACACCAAAACAAGGTAAAATATTCATTTAAACATATGTCCAAAAGGCCACCATTGTAGCTGAACATAGCAACCCATAACATATATTCAAAATGTCCGCCGATTGCTTCTCCACACGCATTCAACTGGCAGACCCTTTCAAATAATCCCACACAGTGTCGAATGGTTTCGCAGACCCCTATGACATTTTGTTGAAGCATCTCTGCATTATTAACGTCTGCTGCATAAAAAAATTATTTTAGGTGACCCCATAGATAAAAATCCAAAAGATTATGATCGGAGGAACGTGCAGGCTATGCAACAATGTTATTCAAATGTGCTGGAGTCCCGTCATGCATGGACCACGTTCTTTTTCGTATTAGCAGGGGTACATGCCTTACCAGGTCTGGAAGTGTGTTCGAAATAAAGTACCGTAGACAGCTCCTGTAAGACGTGCTGGGGGAACATATAGGCCAACCAGCCAGTCACCTACAATTCTAGCCCACACATTAAGAAATCTTTCGGCTGTGCGGTCGAACTCTCTGCCTCTGAGCAGAGAGGAACCCGGGCGAGGTTCGGGGAGGTTGACCAACCCGATCTCGTTTATGCGGGTTCTACGGGCATTTTTTTTGCCGAGCCTACGAGCTCGGAGAACCCACGTTAAACCAGGACTTGTGCCACATGCAACCCTCGTTGGGGGTGGCTGAATATTCCAGCCCACACATTAATTGTAAGCTGATGCTGGTGTCTAGTCTGTATTGTATCATGGGCATTCCGATCCGCCCACAAATATCGGTTGTGTAAATTTGTTATTCCATCTCTTCCAAATGTTGCCTCAACCGTAAACAGGACTGAAAAGACAAACAACGAATCGACAGTTTGTGCAATAAACCACCGGTAAAAGTTCTCCCGTGGTGAGTGATTAGAGAGTGAAAGACGCTGCACACGTTGCAAATGATACGGATACGGGACCTGCCTTTGAAGTACCCTCCATAGGGTACTGTGAGATGTACGACATCTTAGGGCCGCTTGACGTTTGCTGTTACCTGATTGTCCCCAACAGCCTGGAGAATGTTTTGCGTGGTCAGACGTAGAAACGCATGTCGGTCTTCCTCGATCCATAGTTTGTGGTGTCACGGACCCTGCCTCAGCAACGTGACGATAAACAGCAGCAAAGGTTGGATGACTAGGCAGCCTTCGGTCTGAAAACGCAATCTGATACAGCCGTGCAGCCCCGCGCCCATTACCATTTACGAGACCGTATGTAAAATCATATATGATATGAATATGCTTCCATTGTTAAAAGGAAAACTTCTCAGTTAACTCACTACAAATGAGCCAGAAATGTACACGAATAACAAATGTAACCTCGTCTACATCGCAACACAGCGGCATCTACGGTAAAATTTCAAAAACGAAAAATTTGCGGACATACGTTTATATAGACTTTTGACCTTGTTTTAGTGTATGGAACTCACCTCCAAAGTTTGTAAAGTTTTTTTTTGATACACCCTGAGTATATGAGAGAATATATTATGTCAATAGAATAAGAATCAATTTTGCAATTAAAGTGCTCAATATTGATGTATAGACCATTATTATTATTATTATTATTATTATTATTATTATTATTATTATATGTTATGTTTCCTGCTTTGTATCCTGTAGAGCCAAGTCCAAATTATGGTCCTTAGGTCCTATAGAAGAATTTTCATTTAATTAATAACACTTTCCTTAGTATACGGTAATGTTCCTAGTAGGGCGATCTTCTGAGCAACTTGTATGTTGGGGTTACGTGGAACACTGTTAGTAAAATTTGGATGTCCTTTTCTCACTAATTATTATTATTATTATTTGTGTATGTTATGTTTCTTGCTTTGTATCCTGTAGAGCCGGGTCCAAACTATGGTCCTTATGCCCTATTGGAGAATTGTCATTTAATTGATAGCGCTTTTCTTAGTATAGGGGATGTTCCTAGTACGGCTATCTTCTGGGTAATTTGTATGTTAATGTTACCTAGGACACTGTTAGTAAAATTCTCCATTCCTTTTCTCACGAATCCCAGTGCTCAGATTACTATTGGTACAGCCTCAGACTTCATCCCCTACATCCTGTTAATCTCGATCTCCAGGTTCTTGTATTTGGACAATTACTCGATAATTTTTATGGAGGTATTTCTCTCAGATGATACTGCTATGTCAATAAGCATAAATTTCCTTAATTTTCTTGTCTTTTATGATAATATCAAGTCTGTTGTCTCTTATTTCCCAGTCAGTTTGAATTGGCATATACCAGAAGATAGTTTCATCGTTATTTTGGGTAACTGTGTCTGGTCGGTGCTCATACCATCTCTCAGTGGTTTCGATTTTGTGCTCCTTGCATATTTTCCAGTGCACATATGTCCTACCATGTTATGTTTATGGGAATATTCATTTTTTGCTGGGATAATATGGTCGACAGTTTTATCATATTTTCCGCAGATCCTGCATTTCGGGTTAGTTCCATCCTTGATTATTTGACAATGATAGGATCTGGTTGCGAGGCTTTGGTCCTGAGCTGCAACAATTAGGCCTTCTATTTCATCTTTCAACCCGGTGCTTCTCAGCCAATGATGTGTTTTCTGTTGGTCCATATCTGCTTCTTTCGTTCTTTTTATATATTTTCCATTCAACGCCTTGTCCTCCCAGTTTTTTTGTAATTTCATTTGGCTAAATTTTGTTTACTGATTTACTCATTTAGCGTAGATGGTATTCGCTTTATTTTTTGTTGGTAGGATTTCAGTATATTTTACGTTGGTGGGAAAGTGATTGACGCCGACCTGCCAGATCAGGACTAATAATATTGCTGATTCTTTGCATTTTATCAAGGAGCTCAAGGTAACTAGCAGGGTCACCGGAACATATGTGGCAGCCATATTCCAAGAATGGATTATATGCCCTGAGAAAGTTATGAATCCTTCGCCACTCCCCCAGCTATAGGTAAAATAGTATTTGGTGGCAACCAATCTAGAAGAAGGAAACTGAATTAAAACTCGATCGCAGTATCCTAAAAGTGTGTACACATGCGGTTACACCCCTACTGAAACTCCTACTATGGATTTTCCCGCCCGAATGAATGCGAACTCTGCTACACTTGGTCAGCTTTTCTTAAGCGACGTTAAGTAACATTTAGGCTGATTAGTATTTAGATGGGTGACCATTGTAATGTTTGGATGTGAGGGTGGTGCATTGGAAAACAGCTCGGAATTGGAAATCGGAGAAGCCGAGTTCAAATTCCAGTCGATTTCGTTATATTCACTTACACGCAAATACCATTGAGAAAGGTACGAATTCACCTCGCATCCAGCTATGAGTTAATTAGTAGCACTTGTATCAGTAACACATTATTTTCTAAAAAAAAAAAAAAAAATTCTTACAAGCTAAAAACTACTTTCTGGCTTTAAATAACCTAAATAAGGTTGATAAGCCGTAAACAGTAAATCTGTCAATCCCTCGCATCCACTTGCTCTAGTAAAGCGTAGTAGAAATAGTTTAAGAGCATCATTTGCATGACTTAAATGTAAGGATTTTGCTTCGGAACCAATTGGAGAAAAAATAAATTAAATCCTCATATCACTGATTAATGGCGTTGCAAATATTTCTTATTTTGAAAACAGTTGCTTTGATCTTCCCATTGATATAAAGGTCATAGATTGATATTGATTAAAAATTTTTATTGATTTATGCATAATAATTAAAATCACTTATTTCAGATTAAAAAAATGCTTTTTATACGTGATTAAAATATAGGGTTTTGAAATAATCATATCTACAGTATTATTCCGATGGTTGCACATAGTATGTCAAATGAATGAAAAATCTCCTCATTCGAGGTAATAGCATTTTCATTGGCAAAATTCTTTTGATCGTCACAGAATAATGGACGAACGTGAATAAAGAAAGAACACGTTCTCAAATCAAGTAAGGAACACACAGTCACAAATCGAGTAACGAACGTACACAGTCTAAGATAAGGAACGGACACACTGTCAAAGAATGTAATGAACACTCGATACAGTATGAAGTTAGGTAAAGAACGAATACAGTTTCAGGTCAGGTAACGAATGACCACAGAGTCTCAAATCAGGAGAAAAACGATCAGAGTCCCAGACAATGTAAAGAACGTAAAAAATAATCAATAAAATAACGAACGAACACAGTCTCAAAATCAGTTAAAGGACGATCATCGTCTAAAAGAAGGTAACGAACAAACAACGTATGCAGTCTGAACTCAGGTAAAGAGCTAACACACAATCGCTCACCAGATCGGCTGCGTATACAGTCTGAAATCAGGTAAAGAGCTAACACACAATCGCTCGCCAGATCGGCCGCGTATACAGTCTGAAATCAGGTAAAGAGCTAACACACAATCGCTCACCAGATCGGCAACGTATGCAGTCTGAACTCAGGTAAAGAGCTAACACACAATCGCTCACCAGATCGGCAACGTATGCAGTCTGAACTCAGGTAAAGAGCTAACACACAATCGCTCGCCAGATCGGCTGCGTATACAGTCTGAACTCAGGTAAAGAACTAATATACAATCGCTCACCAGATCGGCCGCGTATACAGTCTGAAATCAGGTAAAGAACGACATCTCAAATAAAGCAACTTACTAACACAGAGTTAAATCATGTAACGATAAAACTCAGTCTCAAATTATGTTTCAGATAAATTAAGGAATGGGCATCTCGAATCAGGTAGGGAACGAATCCATTCTAAAGTCAGGTAAGGAGGGAACCTAGTCTCTAATGAAGGAAAGGACGAACGCATTCTCAGATCAGGTAAGGCATGAACCCAGTATCTAATGAAGGAAAGAACGAACACTGTGTCAAATCAGGTAATGAACGAACAGTCTCATTCCAGATTGCCAACCAAGGCTGAAGAACTGAGACTGTTCAACTATTCTATCCAATTCTGTTGTGGATTCCAGCGCGTATTTACGCATATATGAAAGTAACGAACACGACTGGAATTCGAACTCGACTTTCTGATTTCTCATTTTGAGCAATTTTCCACTACACACCCAGCACTTCCAAACATTCTTGTAAAAACCTGACCAACCATTAGCTAATACGAGGTCTTTTTGAAAATCTATGTTTTTTTTATCGTATCTTATGAAATATGAAGCAAATTTTAACAGGGACTCAACATGAATGCACTTTATTGAATTTGTTGAAAGAGAAAAAAAAAGACAGACGATCCATTGTTAAATAACAACACTTATAGAAAGTAACTCTTTGTCTTAGATAAGATTTTCAAGCCAGAAAAATATAAAACTAATGAAAGAAATAAAAGCTAAAACGTCAAAAGAAAACTATGTTTTTTTCTCGTAGGTTATAAAAGTCCTCCATTATTAGTGCTTCGGCTTTCACTGGTCTTAATGCGCAGCTAATAGGATTTTTAACTGAAGCAGGTCGTTAGAACGACCTTCCATAAAGAGAGCGAGTGAATGAAGTTAATAAATAACATCATAAGTAAATAATGGGATCAAAAATATTCTATTTATGTGTGTGATGTCATTATCATCTTTGATATTTACGTTGGAATATTGAATTAAACAAGACAGAAGTAGCATTCAGCACTTCGGGTTGAACGTGAAACGAGAAGAAAGAAAAGAACTAACAAGCAAAGAAACAGACTTTTTTTTATTCCTTACTCGAAGAATAACTGAAAAACATATATATATATATATATATATATATATATATATATATATATATATATATATATATATATATATATATATATATATTCTCTTTAATGTATATAGATAAGAATAGGAATGGAATTTCGATGTAAGTAAGAGAAAAAAAAGAGATATTTTTTATGTTCACAGAAATATGTTTTAATGATTAACAATTATTAATATATTTTTTTGTTTTTCTTCATTCCTACTTTATCATTAGCGGCAAAATCAGAACAATCAATTATTAATGTCGAGAAGAGCAATGTGGTACATCACGACCCATTACGATTGTTGGTAGTGGCTTTTACACCCAAGACAAAGGTGTGGGTCATTGCTCGGGAATAAATAATAGTAAAGTAAGAAGCGGATAGTGGCTTGGACTGAGGAATCGGAGAGCCGAGTTCGAATTCCAGTCGAATCCATTACATTCACTTATGTGCTAATACCCTTGGGAAACGTGTGAATCCCCATCTTCTCCCTCCATCTCTGGTTAAATAGCAAGACAGACCGGGTTCTATAGATTTGGATGGCAACTGGTCTACCGCAGAAAGAAATGGCAACCTACTGCGGGAAAAAATCTGCCTCGTCAATCAAATATTGAAAGATACGTGATCGCCTAAGCTTATATCACGTATGGCACATAACTGACTGCTATATACATACATATGTTCATGAATAAAAATGACAATAGGAAAACTAGTAATTGCTGATGCGTTTCGTCCAATGTGGACTTCATCAACGCAAAATACGAAATGAATTTAATTGAACAAGGTAACTAATAAAAACAAAAAACAGAATGTTCCTAACAACTGGAATGTAGAGAAAGTCTATTTTCATATTGTTAACTGAAAAATAGCGTCATATGTTTATGTACATTTATATATACATAGAATTGGAGAGCCGAGTTCAAATTCCAAACGAATCCATTACATTCACTTACGTGCTAATACCCTTGGGAAACGTATGAATGGTCGTCTTCTTCCTCCATCTATGGGTAAATAGCAGGACAGACAGGGTCCTTGGATAGCAACTGGTCTACTGCAGAAAGAAATGGCAACCTACTGCGGGAAAAAATCTGCCTCATCAATCAAATATCGAAAGATACATGATCGCCTAAGCTTGTATCACGCATGGCACATAACTGACCGACAGATTATTTTGAGGGGACATAGCGAAGTAATAGATAGCGGCTCGGATTGAGAAATCGGAGAGCAGAGTTCGAATTCCAGTCGAATCCATTATATTCCCTTACGTGCTAATACCCTTGGGAAATGTATGAATCCGCTTCTCCTCCCACCAACTATGGATAAATAACATGACGGACTGGGTTCTATAACCTTGGGTGGCAACCGGTCTAGGAGAAGGAAAAACTCTGAATTCAAAACCGTCCTGGAGAGGGTTTGGCTCCATAAGGTTATCTTGCACAAGAAACACCACCCCTACTGCGGCTACAGTACACATGGTGACCCTACGACCCTGCGGGTAACGGGATAAAAAAAAAGCAAGAAGAAATGACTGTCAATTGTAAGAAGGCATAATTTGTATGGTTGTCAGCAAGAAGAACAAAAGGGAGAAGTCAAGGGTTCGAGTTACGAACTGGATAGATTAAAATAAAGTAAGCACAGAAATTTAACTGTCTGGGAAGGCTGGAAATGTGACAAAGAAAGCCGAAGGCTCTTTGAAATAGTGTTTTCATATAAGACTAATGTATTTACACTATTTTCATCATTCGGACTATTTTCATCATCTTTATTGCCATATTCACGACGTTTCAGTCGTTGTACGCCCCGGCCTTCTTCAGGATCTGTCTATACTTCCGAGATGAGATATTTTAACTATTTACACTATTTACATTGTTCGGACTGTTGTCCCCATCTTTATTGTCATATTTAAGAAGTTTCGGTCGTTTTACGCTCCGGCCTTCTTCAGGAGTCATAAGCTGGAATTTCGAATTGAACCTTTTATTTAGGCCACGGGGAGGAGAGCACATTGGACCAGTGGATAAAAGCTTTGAGTAATCCAAAAAGTGACTTGACCCAAAGAGTTTTGAGTTCAATAAAAACTTGGAGTGTTGAGTTACTAAAAGGAATTAACTGATACTGAGATATCCAAAAAAAAAAAGGCATGGCACGTGGAATTAGAACAATCTACTCTTGTGGATAGAGGGTTCGGTTTGAAATTTTAACATATAGCATCTAAAGAAGGTCGGAGAGTACAACAGTCGAAACGACGTAAATATAGCTATAAATATGTGAACAACAGTCCGAATGATGTAAATAGTGTAAACAGTTGCAATACCTCGTTTCAGAAATATAGATAAAAATTAATCTACTTTAAATCGCTCTTTAGAGTGGTTTGTAACACATCACTTATCATCACTCAGTTGCGTCTCTGTTCTTGGGCAGAGTGCACTCAGGGTCGACTCCGTCAGAGTCGTAATTGTGGAAAATTATACTGATAGGTGCCCCGACCTAGGGAACAGCTGCCCGAAGCCGCACCCTCTCATTGCACCAGAGAGAGAGGGATCAGTGCTCGCGCCGAGGCCAGCGCAACTGACGATTGCGGGCGCTGCGGGCAATTTTTGTTCCTCGCCCGGGTGTACGCGCTCGGGTCACAACTCGTCTTAGTGGGGAGTAAATACCTAATCTACTGTATCAGGTTACTCCCTCCCACCCTTCCTTCTTAATCTATCTATCTATCTATCTATCTATCTATGTAATTTCATTTGAAGACATATAGTACCTCAAAACTTGCGTAAATTTTGAAACACGGATTCTTGCAAGTTAAGCAACGTCAAATCTGGTTAGTACTTATATGGGTGATCGCTTGTGAATACCAGGTGTTGCAAGCTTGGGTGTGCGTGGGGTGTAATATATCACGGCTCAGAATTGGAAATCGGATTGCCGAGTTCCAATTCCAGTCGGGTTCGTTATAGTGACTTACGCACAAATACACTTGGGAAAGGCATGCAACCACCACTTCTCCCCCAACTATGGGTTAATTAGTAGGACTTGCATCAACAAATAATGATTATCTCCAGAATATAACAAAAGAAAAGTATTTCTGGCGTTAAGTAACGTGCATCGGGTTGGTAACCCATGAAACACAAATCAATAAAAATTTTTTGCATAAATTCTGTTATTTTAGCTGATCTATATAAACACTCTGTTAATATCTATCTATCTATCTATCTATCTATCTATCTATCTATCTATCTATCTATCTCTGTTATTTATCTATCTATCTATCTATCTATCTATCTATCTATCTATCTATCTATCTATCTATCTATCTATCAGTGTCGGGCCAGACAATTCTTGTCAGAATCTCTCTTGCACATTTATAAATCTACCATTCGTCTCTGTGTTGAATACTGTTGCCATATCTGGCCTATTATATACCTCGAGATTCTTGTCAAAATTCAAAGATGAATCTGTAATGTAATCGATCGCGACCGGGTATCTTCACTTCAGACACTTTCTCACCGACGTGACGTGTCTTCCCTCTGTCTTTTCTACAAATATTTTCAGGTCAACTGTTCCGATGAGTTTTTTTCTTTCGTGCGTTGACGTCATCAATTCAAGATTGTCAAGTAAGTATCACCTATTTACTGTTGCAGCTAGCTAGATGCGAACGTCTATTCTATTCTAATAGTTCCTTTCCGCTTTCTTGCTTCCCTGTCAACTACGATTGTCAAACCCTTAAATGCAACGTCATTCGCTATCTTCTGCTTTCCCGAACCCTATCCTCTTATTATCCTTTTCCTCACTTCTCCTCGGTAAAGTATTCTCATCCTGTAACACCCCTGCGTCTTAGTGGGTTTATCGCTTTGCTTGGGGTAAACTGATTAAAAAAGAAAAAGTATGCTCGGGCCAAAATTGGAGAACTGCTGCCCTGGCTGTGCTGGAGCTGCACACACTTCACTTTCCAGCCTTGATTTCAAAGTCGTTTACCCTAATTTGGCAGGGATAGATTGTCTTCCACCCTACAACCTCTTTTCTACAGACGAAATGTTGCAAGCCTCTTGCTGTTCTATAGCTATTTCCATTGCAGATGTTCGGGCGAAACACATTCCTTAGTGTCCTCAGTCCAGAGCTTCACAGCTAAGACCCGACATGTTACGTACACAGAGCCGACTCATCCTCGTTCCCTTTGTATTCTATAGGTAAATGGTAAGTCCACTGGGACAGCTTCCCCCACAGAACTGTTGCAATGTAGAATAGACTCCAAAGAGGATACTTCCTTCATCACTACAGTTTTAATCTCTTAGGGTTAACCCTTATCTATTCTACATATCATCAGGATATTTATGTCCTTAAAACAACTTCATTTAATAATACTCTACCTTGAGTGTCTTTTAAGCCTAGTATTACATGAACAATAATAATGATAAAAAATAAGCGACCTTCAGAAATAAAGGCAACTTACTGCAATTCAAGGAAATAGAATCGTCGACCGAGTTCAACTTCAAGTTGAGATTGCGTTCACTGCGCACTACTGCCCTTGGGAAAGGCAAGAAACAAATCTCTTCTCGCCTGTAATTGTAAGAGGATAGATTTGGCTCTTTATTGGCAAACAGTCTTGGAGAAGGAAAACTCTGAATTCAGAATTAGAGGATTAAGTGTGCCACGAGTAACTGTACACCATAAAAAGCAGCTACTGAAACAGTATCAGTGTCAATTTGGTTACGGTCCTCCCTATGCTCCACAATGTATTTGCAGTGAATAACCAAAAATTGCCAATTAGTCTTAAACACCTAAACATCTGGTACGAATATAAAAAAATGATAATAATGACGATAATATAATGATAATAATCATGATAATATAATGATAATAATAATGATGATAATGATAATATAATGATAATAATAATGATAATAATAATGATAATATAATGATAATAATAATGAAAATATAATGATAATAATAATGATGATAATGATAATATAATGATAATAATAATGATAATAATGATGATAATATAATGATAATAATAATGATGATAATAATGATAATATAATGATAATAATAATATAATGATAATAATAATGAAAATAATAATTTTAATATAATGATAATAATAATGATGATAATAATGATAATATAATGATAATAATAATGATAATATTAATGATAATATAATGATAATAATAATGATAATATAATGATAATAATAATGATGATAATGATAATATAACGATAATAATAATGATGATAATGATGATAATATAATGATAATAATAACGATGATAATAATGATAATATAATGATAATAATAATATAATGATAATAATAATGAAAATATAATGATAATAATAATGATAATATAATGATAATAATAATGATAATATAATGATATTAATATCTATCTTATTTGTCGCGTAAGTCATGTTTTTTTAATCTCAACTCACGCTCTCTTAATATTTTCATTCGATATTTTTTCAAATGACTAATATTCAAAGAGTTCTTCATTTTTACTGTCATTTCATTTCGTCATTAAATCCGTCGTCTGCAAAGATGGCGGCATTCACCATTTTATTTAATAACATGTCATTATTTAATAACATGTCATTTTTTTAATTTTGTTTACTTACCTTATTTTTCCTCCTTTTCATAAAGAGTGTAAAAAAAAAAAAGCCTCATGATCATTTATACTTTAGATCAGTCGACACACCAGTCTTTTTTGCTGCATTCGATTTTATTATAGCTCGTCGCATTGTTGGGAATATAG